TGTGCACGACGTGCGAGGTGTGCGGCGGGTACCGCATGCTGCCCTGCGCGGTGTGCAACGGCTCCAAGAAGTCGGTGCATCGGAACAACTTCACCGCCGAACTGGTGGCGCTCAGGTGTATGAACTGCGACGAGGCGGGGCTGGTGAAGTGCGACGCGTGCTAGAGATAGAAAGAGAGAACTTACGGTGGAGTTTAAGTCAATTAATGCAGACGAGGCGGCATCGGCGAGAAAGTCGCCGCGGCAGTGTACCCTCCCCGCGAATCTCTTTGCGTCTCTTGGCGCTGAATCGCTGCATTGCCGAATCGGCTGGGGAAGTTGTTAGAGTCCTCGACACTGCGCCGAACAGTGGGTCAGAAGACCGGTGGAGGCGATCAAAATCCCGGACGCGTTTGGAGCTCCAGAGTCGCTAACTGGGACTCGAACCGCACGTGTGACCCCATCAATGGATTCCTCTTTCGAAAAGCAATCCATTGGTGGGGTCACACGTTCGGTTCGAGTGCCATTTAGCGACTCTGGAGCTCAAAACGCGTCCGGGATTCGGACCGCCTCCCACACTGGTAAAACTAAAGCGTAGTTGTACGCTTCATTCAAGCGTACAACTACGCTTCAAGACTGTACGCCCTTCTTGAAGCGTACAACTACGCTTCAAGGCAATTCCCTCATGCATTTAGATAGGAAGAAAGGAGCGCATGAACTCTTGTACGCTTGAAGAAGGGCGTACTGGCTGTACGCTTCACGAAGGGCGTAATAGTACGCCTTAGTTTTACCAGTGCACTGTGCGCCGCGGTGCTAGGCAACCCATCCCAATCCTGGGCCGCCAGGAGAAGGGCCGGAGAAACAGGTTGCCTGGCAGCTCTCACACGCTTTACTCGAAAAAAAGAAAGCCTCAACGCAATGTCTAGCGTTGTCTTATTCTCTGAACTGTGTGCACCGAACTCGCTGCATTTCTTTACTTTGATTCTGTCGATGTTTGTAATGCGCGTCTTCCTTGAAGTCAAGCTAACTACGACGAAGAGTGCGAAAGGATCCATTGTAGTACTCTCAACTGGTATCTCAACACACTGTGGTTTCTTATCACCCGTTTTAGTTTGCCTATCTTGAAGGAAGACACGATATGTTATAAGATCAGTCACTATTGTCCTCAAGCATGAAATATTTTATTGTTAGGTAGGTGTAGATATTCTTTTATGGTTGAAGTCTCTTTCACAACTCCAAATCCACGTTCAAGCTGTTCTTCTAGTTGTAGACCAACTTCTTTTATTAAATGACTTGGATTTTTTAACGTAACTCTTTTGGCTGTCAAGTTTATGGACTTGCTCTGCCAAGTTTTCCAAAAAATTGCAGCAGATTGTGTATTTTCTGCCTTCTGTACATTTCTTCTTGTCCCTGGTGTTCAACAGTTTCTAGACTCTTATACCTTCTCATAGAAAGTTTGTTATCAAGCCTGTAGATACATGTGTGAAATTAGCATTCTCAAATTGTTCAGTTAACATCGATTGATGCTGGTGGCGCGAAGCCAGCACCACTGTGCCACTGCCCTATAATAAAAACCTCTATTAGTGAAAATCTGTTACTTTTATTTTTATCCATAAGACAGAACACATTTAAAATATCATGGACGATTATTCGTACGACTACTACTAAATTGTTTTCAAACAACTCACAGAGACTACACTTTCTACCACTCAGAAATGGCTTAGTTTTCCGGTTGAGATTCAAGTTTACTTATGATAGAAGCAAACTTAGTCTATTAAACCTATTTTCGTAAACTTCGTTAATTTACACATTAATAAAATACAGGATGCTGCACAACACAAGTTATACAAATATCCCCTCCTCTTTCACTTATGTCCAAACTTCCACTGAAAGATTGTTACTGGGCACTATGTTTAAAAATGACTCTCTAATTCGACTTACACCAAACTACAGAAATATAGACACACTCTAATCTGGGATTAAATCTACCCACACATTGAAGCAGGCGGCACTTAACAAAAACTTCCCTTGGAAGAAGCTGGCATAGAGATTTCACTAACTTCATTGACAGATGGAAGAGTAAGACTCAAAGGCATTGCAGTTAGCACACACGAAGATAAAGGCATGGGTTGGAGCGACAGGACAAGGACCTTCGCCTAGAGTGAGACAGACTTCTCGAGGAAGCGTCGTCCTCCGCATGCAGTTGCATCGATTCTTCGATTCTTCGACTTTCTTTCTCCCTCCCTCCGGGACTTGAAGACGGTCGCGCGATTGACGTTCAATCGTCGAGCAGACAAAGACACTCAGTGCGGACTGAGGAGATCAGCCTCACCCCGCCGCGTTCACCTGGAACAAGCGTTAAGTCACACATAAAAAAATTAAAGTAAAAGAAAATTAAAGTAAAAGAAAATTAAAGTAAAAGAAAATTAAAGTAAAAGAAAATTGAAGTAAAAGAAAATTAAAGTAAAAGAAAATTAAAAAACCTTTAAAAATAAAAAAATAAAAATGATGAAATATAAATAGGAACCTGGCACTGTTGAGGCAGCTGAGCGACACGGGCTGGCCGTCGCCGAGGTCAGCGCCGTTCTCGGGCACGGACTCCATGAGGGTGTACCACTGCGCCACCGGCTTGCGGGGGTTGTCCAGCATCTCCTGCCAGTGGTCGCGGCCCACCCCGATGAAGGACGGCCCGATGCCGCAGCACCCCATCAGCTCGTTAGGGCCAATCCTGAAAAAAAACAAAAAAACAAAAAAAAAAAAAACGGGCACGCTTGAAACCTCACGAAGTTTTTTGAGCATACACAGTACAAACTAATTTACTCTGTTATACGAGGAAATAGCTCGTAAATTCCGAAGCATTTTCTTTGTTATGAGTACTCTTGTTATAACATGCTGCTTTTCTTTGTAAGGCCCAAAATAGTTTTAAGGTTTTCTCAGTGTAGTAAACGAACGGCCAGTATCGCTCGAAGTGCACCCCTTCGGACGGTGCGGCGGGAACCCTCGGAAGTAGACCGACTTGAACTTTTTTCCCCGCGAAATTGGCGTCAGAAAAACCAACACGCCGAGATGAGCTGAATCCAATCAGCCCAACATTAAGTACACCCCATTTGGTACTTGTTGGCGGTAACCGCCCCTCAGCCAACTTTCCAGGGGAGACTCTCCAAACTCCCGCCAGCGAGCGGCGGGGAGAGCGCCGTGGCGCGACCGCGCGCCGCACCGGGGAGCGCGTTGGGCTGCCTACCCGGCCCACTGCAGGCGCTAGGAGCGGGCCAGAAGACCGGTGGAGGCGACCGAAACTCCAGACGCGTTTTGAGCTCCAGAGTCGCTAAATGGGACTCGAACCGAACGTGTGACCCCACCAATGGATTCCTCGTTCGGAGAGCAATCCATTGGTGGGGTCACACGTTCGGTTCGAGTCCCATTTAGCGACTCTGGAGTTCAAAACGCGTGCGGGACTTTGACCGTCTCCACCGGTCCTCTGGCCCACTGAGCGACGCGGGTAGTACCTGTCGCGGTCGATGACCTTGACGATGAGCGAGACGTCCTCCACGTTGGAGGCCGGCACGTCGAACACCAGGGCCTCGTTGTAGATGGGAGCAAGCGAGGACCGCTTCACGCTGGTCTTGCGTTTCTTGATCCGCCTGCCCTGGCACAGCAGGTACACCTTCACGTACGGATCTGCAACAACAAGTAAGCTTCATTGTTTTTTCGCTCAAAATTTGCCCGTTTGCGCTGGTGGGACGCACCTTGCGTCCGCCCTGGGCTTTCCATCTTCCAGCATCTTCCAGCCCAGTCCCACCGGACGCTTTTCCATCCGTCCTTGTCGCACACCTGGAGTCCTGGAGCCTACACTGCAACCCTCTGGAGCTCCCGCAGCAAACCCCCTGCTGCCACGCAAGCTGCGAAAATTCCCTCGTCTTGCCCACGAGGCAGCATTGTGGATAGGGTTGCCAACCACATCCTGCCCACTAAGCAGCATTGTGAATAGGGTTGCCAACCACATCCTGCCCACTTAACAGCATTTAGACTCAAGGCACGCGGAGGTTGGCAACCCTATCCACACTTTCGGCCTACTTGTGTGGCCACACTGCACGGAGCCCACCACCCAGCCGGAGCACGGCCTAGGGTTGCCACCTGCTGGGGGCTGCTGCCTGGGCTAGGCCTTGGCCGCCCCAGCTGTCGTGGCGAATGGACCTCCCCCCTGGCAGTCATATCTTATTTCCGCCACGCTCGGGGAAGAGAAAGAGAGAGAGAGAGAGAGAGAGAGAGAGAGAGAGAGAGAGAGAGAGAGAGAGAGAGAGAGAGAGAGCAAACAAAAGAACGCACGCCCGCCAACTTGGGCGGCAAACTTCGCGCCAAGTGGCACCAGCACGTCATCAAGTCCCCGGCGCCGCGGGCCGCCGCGTTGCCAGCGTTCCGGAAAAACAAAAATGGTGTCTGCTTGTTGTTGCGATGTGATTTCCGAATCAGGAGCCGTCACGCGAAAGGGGGATGAATAGAGAATGAGGGGGTGGGTCGCGTGCGGTGGCGATGGAAACCGGAATCGGATCGGACGACTGGCCGATTGGGCTTCGGGCCTCACCTCGGAACAAAGGAAGTCGGCCGCACTGTTTTAACAGTGTGACCGCCACCCCAGCCGACCCGGGACTCGCGAAGGGACGCACAGTGGGACAGAAGACCGGCGGAGGCGGCCAAAACTCTAGACGCGTTTTGAGCTCCAGAGTCGCTAAATGGGACTCGAACCGACCGTGTGACTCCACCAATGGATTGCTCTCCGAAAGAGGAATCCATTGATGGGGTCACACGTCCGGTTGCAATCCCGTTTAGCGACTCTGGAGCTCAAAACACGTCTGGAGTTTCGGCCGCCTCCACCGGTCTTCTGGCCCTCTGTGCGTCCCCGGGGATGCCCCTGTGGGGGCTTCCTGCGTGCGCGGGGAGAAATTTAGATTCGGCCAGAACGGCCGCCCCGTGCACGGCCGTGGCGCGGCCCGGGCACACTGGGAGAGCCCCGGAGCCCGGAGAGCCGTTGGCTGCCGTTGGTCCACTGGAGGGGAGGCGGGGAGGGCAGGGAGGAGCAGGGCGTGTTTGCGGCCATCTTATTCATACAGTGGGGACGCGACGCCCGGTAAACCATGCATCGCAACCAACGCAGTCAACGCAGTGGCCGCACCACGCGTCGGCGTCGCGTTCGGGTTACACTTGCGTGCCAGAACCCGCCCACCCCGAACAGCTGCTACTGTCGAAAAAAAGCCGTTTTCGCTTTTTATTGACTGTGGGCCGCGGTTCGCACCCCGTCGAGAGCATCACCGCCCGGCATATTTTTTTGGTTAAGGCCTCGCGCTACACTCTAAGTGATAAAGTGGCGCCCGACCACGCAGTTTACGTAATTTATAAACAAGCCGACCGCGGCACCGGTAAATCTGTCCCGCCGTGTTGTACACGACCCGCGCTGCGGGGCGCCTCGTGAATGCGAGAGAGACGACAGGGAGGACGTCGCGACCTTAAGGGAGGTCCTTGCAGTGTAGTGACAGGGGTCATTCCTCGGGCTGTACTGCCCGGTAGAGTGCCGCGGGGCACAGTGGGCCAGAAGACCGGTGGAGGCGGCCAAAACTCTAGACGCGTTTTGAGCTCCAGAGTCGCTAAATGGGACTCGAACCGAGCGTGTGACCCCACTAATGGATTGCTCTCCGAACGAGGAATCCGTTGGTGGGGTCACACGTTCGGTTCGGGTCCCATTTAGCGACTCTGGAGCTCAAAACGCGTCTGGAGTTTTGGCCGCCTCCACCGGTCTTCTAGCCCACTGTGTCGGGGTAGCCGCGTCTCTCTCGCACTCGCGCCGGGCGAGCGACAAGGACAAAGCGACGGGGACGCGGGCGTGCCCAGGGCCCGGGCCGCAGGCAGCAGGCACCTTGTTAGCTGGCGGCGTGTGGCGCCACCGTATGGACTGTGAAAGGCAGCGGGCCAATTTGAGAGCGACCCCCAAACGAAGCACCGCCAAGCACCGCGGAGCACCGATCCAGAAGCCAGCAGCTACCCCCGCCAGAAAAGTGGGGACTTTTTGCAGTGCGAGGGAGACAGAGAAAGAGACAGAAAATAAAGAACGTTCACCAGACGACGCGACAGGTACGGCATGTGCTTCATAAGCCCCTCCCTCCCTCCCTCCCCCCCGCGCACGCACACAACACACACGGAGGCGCCGTTAAGGTGCGGGAGGAAACAGCAATCTGTGGGTACGGCACATTAGCGACAGTAATCAGCAGAGTGAAGTGCACACGGCCTGGACCGCGACGTGCCTCTCTCTCTCTCTCTCTCTCTCTCTCTCTCTCTCTCTCTCTCTCTCTCTCTCTCTCTCTCTCTCTCTCTATCTGCTCTCTCTCTCTCTCTCTCTCTCTCTCTCTCTCTCTCTCTCTCTCCTCTCTCTCTGCGTTGTGGTGGGGTCCTCATCTTCCAGAACGGTAAGCGGGCTCCATGCGGGGGGCTTGGCGCTAATCACCGCACGAATCACACGCAGACTAGCTGTGTGTGTGTGTGTGTGTGTGTGTGTGTGTGTGTGTGTGTGGTGTGTGTGTGCGCGCGTGTGTTTGAGTGTGTATACTACAACGTGCTGTACACCGGACGAAAATACTACTTTTCCTTTGCTAACGTCACAACCAACAAAGAAGACAGCAGCGCGAATTTCTGAGTGAAAACTGCGCTGTGGCCGCGGTGTTCCAGCGTAAGGCCATGCACAGTGGACCAGAAGACCGGTGGAGGCGGCCAAAATTCTAGACGCGTTTTAAGCTCCAGAGTCGCTAAATGGGACTCGAGCCGAACGTGTGACCCCACCGATGGATTGCCCTCCGAAAGAGGAATCCATTGGTGGGGTCACACGTTCGGTTTGCGTCCCATATAGCGACTCTGGAGCTCAAAACGCGTCTGGAGTTTTGGCCGCCTCCTCCGGTCTTCTGGCCCACTGTGCCATGACGCGCTGGATGCTCACCACGCGGCCGCACTACGACTACGGGACTACGGACGTAGGCATGTAAGGAGGGTGGTGGGAGGGGAGGGGGGGCGCTGGGTCCACGTGGGGCCTGGCTGCGCGGGCTGCGCTTCGATCAAGGTCAACCCCACTCCGGGCGGGGGGGGGGGAGGCTCAGCCCGGCAGGCACGGGCGGCGGGCCCGGCCGCTGTGTCTACCCGGTTGTCATTATTGCCGGGGAGGGTAGACCGGGACGACGAGACGTGGTCAGGAATATTAGAAGGGACCGCACCACCACGCCGCCACCACAGCCCCGGGGCCCCAGCCTCCGGGCCCGGCCTCCCCGACGACCGCCAACAACAATTAGCGCTGAGCCACGGAAAATGAACACCGCCACGGCCTCGACGGCGTGCTTTGACGGCGTGCTTTGACGGCGGGCTTTGACGGTGTGCTCGCAGCGCTGCCGCCGCTGGCGGCTGGGCGGCCGTCCTGGCGGCCTGGCTGGCCGCTGCGCCGCCCAGCTGGCCAACAGGTTGCCGTCGACACTGGGAAGGGGACCGGACCCCGACCGTCTGGGGCTCGCGCCGAACCCTCCCTTTTTCAAACCACGCCGTCGCCGGGGTTCGAAGTTGCGCCGCTCGTCGACAAGTTTGGCGCGCTGGACGACAGCCTGAGCGTCCCCCACGGCGTGCCCGGGGCGGCGGACCGGCGGGCCGGCCCCAAAGTCGGGCCAGTAACTTTCAAACTTGGCGCACCGACGACACCCCTTAAAGCGAGCCACTTGGGCTGGCCCGGGCGGGCCGGATCGGGGCGCCGCTGGCCCCGCTTCCCCGGCGAGGCGAGCCGTGCAGGTGAGCCTTGCAGGCGAGCAGCGGCCGCGGCGAGTCCTTGGGGCGTCCTTGCCCCGCCTTGCCAGGCCTACGAGGTGTGACGAGGTGCAGGGCCTGCCTCGGGGTGGGAAGCGAAGCACAGTGGGCCAGCAGACCGGGGGAGGCGGACAAAACTCTAAACGCATTTTCAGCTCCAGAGTCGGTAAGCAGGCCTCTTACCAAGCGTGTGACCCCACCAATGGATTCCTCGTGCGGAGAGCAATCCATTGGTGGGGTCACACGTTCGGTTCGAGTGCCATTTAGCGACTCTGGAGCTCAAAACGCGTTGAGAGTTTTGTCCACCTCCACCGGTATTCTGGCCCACTGTGTGGGGCCAGCACCTCGGAGTGCTGCGTTCCGGTCTGGCTCGTGCCAAGCAGGCCACCAGGTGCAATAAATAAAAAGCATTGCATAAAAAAAAACGCACAAAAGCTGCTCTTCCAGCTCCTGATTTCCTCCCCTCCACCGGCAGTGACACGCAACAAAAATCGATTCACTAATCAAGACGAGTCAAACGAGCCCGTGCACGCTGAGGGGGTTTTCAGAGCAAACAACGCATGCAAATTACAGTGGTGGTGCGAAGAGGTGGCGCGGTGGGGGCGGAAGCAGAAAAAGGGGTGGGGAGGTTTGTCTTGGGAACAGTTCTTTGCTACGCAGTAATATCGCGTTGCGCGCCATGCGGCGAAAGGTGGAGGCAGCTCTCTCTCTCTCTCTCTCTCTCTCTCTCTCTCTCTCTCTCTCTCTCTCTCTCGCTCTCACTCACTCTCTCTCTCTCTCTCACACACACACACACACACACACACACACACACACACACACATCGTGATGGCACAGAGCGTTGTCAACTGCAG